GGTCGTACATACAAACAAGCAGAATAATAGTATAGATGCTTCTGAGGCAATTAACTTTTGGGACACCCTGTACATTGTGTGGCTTTAACTGCTAGCCTTTTATGGTTTACACACCATACTGAGAATTGCAGACTGTTAGCTTTTTATGGTTTACTTACCATACTGAGAATTACAGCATTCTTTTAAACAGCTCTCCAGTGTATCAGTATGATACATAAGGTTAATTCTGACGGAAGCATTGTTGAGCTTAGACAGGCCGAAACCGACGACTTTTCCAGGAAAAGGTTTCCACTTTCCTTCCACGCCCTTCTCACATCCCGAAGACTCGAAACTCTGTGCACTTAAAAGTACGTTTGTTCCTAAAAGAGCAGTAAGCCAGTATTCTATAAAAAGCTTCATGGGTTACCTAAAATAATATAAACAGTGACATAAGTTACTGAAATAATAATATAAACAGTGGCATAAGTTACTGAAATAATGATATAAACAGTAGCATAAGTTACTGAAATAATAATATAAACAGTGGCATAAGTTACTGAAATAATAATATAAACAGTGGCATAAGTTACTGAAATAATGATATAAACAGTAGCATAAGTTACTGAAATAATAATATAAACAGTAGCATAAGTTACCGAAATTAAAAAAGATTTCCAAAACAAAAAGTTGAACACATACACAACATTACCATATCTATTTCAGTCATCCTTTGACTATATCTCGCACACCTTCATTGCTATATTGAGTTACTTGATGATAAAGGAAATAATAAGAAATCTATAGTTTACCTTTTTCTTATATCATTTACTTACCATTTCACATCCCTTTACTCATGGGCGGTAAAAATACTGTAGCCTATAACGATCAAAGTTTGTCATAAAGATCGCAACATTGTCTTAACGTTAGTGGGCTTTTTCTTGTTCATGTTTATTCTCGAGCACATACACTGTCTGAATAGCGTTTCTTTCGTAACGTTAAAAAACTGTCGTATTTGTACAACGCGAATAGCGAGCCATGGCAGATTAAGTACTTAAAGAAAAGATACGTACGTCTTCACAAGAACAAAATACCTAAATCCTACTCTTCTCATTTCTTTGGGCTCTTCTGGGTTATTTTTAACGTTAGTTTATTCTATGTTTGTGATTCACTTTACTCTATTACCAAAATGTATTATTTGTTTATAATAGTCAGTCATTCTCGGTATACCATTATAATTAGGCTTAGTAGACATTCCATAATTCATAAATAACTTTAATTTGCTTCAAGAGTTTTTGATAAAATGTCATTATAGAATATTTTAAGATGTTATTGAATAGCTATGCAGAGAGAAAGTGGGTAATTAATAATACTAGCTAGAAAACTAACAACCTTTCACTTTGATTTTTAATTTGTTAAACAAACATTAATTCGAATGAATTTTCGAAGTCTTATAAAGTAATTAACTATAACTGAAAACATAGCAATAGCAAAAAACAAAAAAACAAACAACGTATTTGCATGAAAATTGTAAATACATCTGTTCCTATGTATTGACAACAAAATATTAAATAAAAATATGACGTGCTTCTCGAAACTGTGTTTTAAATCAACATACATGTTTTGGTCTAGTGACCTACTCTGTGTCTGAAATATTATACAACTTTAGTATAGTGCCCCTACTCTGTGCCTTAAAATTATTAGACCAATTTGATATTGTTACGTATCTGCTTGTTTGTTAATTTCCGGTAGAACTTCTTTCCGAGAAACTTCAGCGATTCAAGTCCTTTCTTTGTTAAACCAGTTTATTCTTCTTCGATACAACTTTTAGCACACAGTAATTTCACAATCAATACGTTTCTCGCCACTTTAAGCTTAACTACTTTTATAATACACGCTATAAATAACAGCGATTCACAATCTCGATAACTTCACACACTAGCTCGAAACAGAATCGTACATTATCCGGAACTCTCTTCATTCAATCATTCCCTTGTGGGCTTTCTCTGCCAGTCTTAAATACCAACGAAGGGGTGTCTGGAATACACTCGGGCCTCCCTGATCATTCATAATCATTCGAGAAATTCAGTCACGCATGCGCTAGCAGCATCACGTGACTTCCGCTGTCGTAACAATATAGTGACACCTACTCTGTGCCTAAAATATTATTGTACAAGTTTAGTGACACCTACTCTGTGCCTAAAATATTATTGTACAAGTTTAGTATAGTCACCCTTACTCTGTACCTGAAATACTATATTAACACACGTGTTTTTATTTCTTTTATATATTTTTAGTTGAACCTTGACTAGTTTTACACTTTAGAGTCGACGTTTGAAAGCTGATATACTAAAACTGTTATTTTATGACTAGCAGTATGCCTCTCTAGCTAAAATAAGATGTATTGTACCCCTCTAGGTTCACTGACAGTAAATGTAGGAGTATCCTTTATTTCGGTAGGAGTGGAGGGGAATCTCCTAAGGCAGAAACTAGAATAAGAAGTATATTCTTGAACATAGGCATTTACTTTTGTTTCTTTCGGTGGGTGCTCATGTATGAAAACCACGCGGATTGGGGGTTCAGTTAGATGTACAACCAAAGTAACGTTCTTGTTAAGACTATAGGCCATAACTAGATTAAATTAAATCTTTAATTTCACGAGTACAGGTTATCCAAATTACAGATTTTTTTTCCTGTTGAAATCTATCGAAGACACTCTGTTTGTCTTGTGTCTACCTGGTAAGTGCCATGTTACTAGTTAACGCACTGTGCTTTTAAAGCTGGTGCTGCCTTTTCTTATGGTTTGTTTAAAGCCACATTGGGCTATCTGCTGTGACCACCGCGAGGAATAGACCCAGTGTTCCCTCGAAGCTGCGTGGCCTCACAACAACCAATCAAGTGCCGCGCACACCCTCGGTAATAGTGAAGAGTCCAACATGTTGACTGCCTTAATGACACTGGCAGTCAATCGGCCTAAAGCCTAAATAACCAACTGATAGCATTGCAAAGCGGCCTAATGGTCCAATAGGGTCGATGGTCTAACCCCCCCCCTAAAAAAACAACTGGTAGCACATATGGCCTTGATACTGGTGCACATACCAAAATTCATTTCGCGCATGGATTGAAAAAAAATTAGAGGGAGCATTGAATAGAACCCCAGATTTTAGCGTTGTAAGTCTGTAAACTTACCGCCGTCGCACCTGGGGACCTTTTTTATGGTTCTGCACCTTTAAATCTCGTGACTTTCTGAGCGAGTCACAAATCAAGTCACGGGGATGATCAACTTATGAATGTACCCACAGAATCGCTACTTTCGGCGATGATTACAATTATGAAAATATTATGTGTTTTTTATTGTTGGTGGAGAGGAAGAGCCAATATATGCTTTACTTTTTAAAACAAGGAAGAAACGTCTGGTCATTTTTTCTACCAAATACAGTTTTACATAATGCCATTTTATATAAAATCCCGCTGCCACACAAAAATATTTTTCCTTGGGTGTGGTGCCGATGTTCTCGGTTTTTATAGGAATTTCTGCCTTTAGTCTCTAATCTAACCTTTTCAAGTACATTCTAATGGATAGTTGTTTGACTTTGTTAAGATTAGATTAGCTTTATCTATTTTGTAGTGCGATTTTGTGCTGAGCATTATTAAATATTTTCGTGACAACGTTTATTGATATCTATCTTTAAATATTTTGCGCTTACTTTACTAACTGAACGTTTTGCGCTTGATGAGGGCTCACGTTGAGTTCGTTTATTCGTCTCTAGTTAAACTTGCTTTGAATCGCAATCTTAATTACAAGATAACACTTCGCACAATGGCCCGTGCTTCTGTTTATGTGCCCGCCATACTAGTCTGACGAAACAGTACTTCATCCATATAGTAGCTATGAGTCGCCCTACATCCAGAAAGTTGACGTATATTGATCAAAGTCATGCTCCTTTCAGCTAGCATGAGTTGATTCAGCATTGATTAGTTGGGACGATAAAGATTTTGCGGGTCGTTTAGATAGCATACTAAATTTAGTACATCTTTGGCATGCGGCGTAGTGTATAAGTTTGTAATCATATACAAAAATATAGGTCATATCTTATATTAATGAATATATTAGTATTGTCTTCAGGCGTAGGCGTGGCCTAGTTTTCATTGTATTTGGACTATGAATCTGAAGACTCACGGTTCGCGTTCCGCACTTTTGAGCTGCGGGTGTGGTATAAGAGTGACTGTCATATTTAACTATTCGTTCACACAAGAACAGCCCAAGAGTTGGCAGCTGGTGCTTGTGAATAGTTGCCTTCTTTCCTTCTAGTCTATCAGAGTTAATAATCATCTTCATAACACGATTTTCAGATTTCGCTGAAGATGGAATGAGCGTATTCCGAAACGTTCGAACCTTGGAAATAAAATGCGTTGTGTTTTATCAAAAATCTTCATCTTCATTATTAGACTTCGGTTTACCAATCATGAATCCATTTGTATTTGTTTAAAATTAGAGACGGCTGTGCGCAGGGTTTTTTTTTTTTTTTATCTTTGCATGAAAATTCTAAAATAAAGAATCAAATTATATTCTTTCCATTTCCTGCTCGCATTTATAGTACTTGATATATTTCTATTTATTCCTATTTTTATGCATGAAATAAGAAAGAGTACCACTAATACATGGAACGCCACAATCCACATAACCACTTGAAGCAACCCCTGTTTATGTTTGTTTTGGTTTGTTTTGAATTTCACGCAAAACTACACGAGGGCTATCTGCACTAGCCGTCCCTAATTTAGCAGTAAAAGACTAGAGGGAAAGCAGCTAGTCATCATCATCCACCGCCAACTCTTGGGATACTCTTTTACCAACGAATAGTGGGACTGACCGTCACATTATACCCCCCACGCCTGAAAGGGCAAGCATGTTTTGGTGGGAGGAGGATTTGAACCCGCAGTTTGCGAATCGAGTGCCCTAACCACCTGGTCATGCCAGGCCGTCAAGAGAGTGAGTATTCCTAAAAATATAACACCTAATCAAAAATTTATTGCTAGTTCGATACCCACAAATTTTACAACAATAATAATATTATTATTCTTATTGAAGGGAAATCTATTCCTTGTACCTTTTGCTACTGCTAACAACTAAACAATAATAATTAGCAGAACGTTTCTTAAAGCTTTGTTATCTAGTAAATGTAATTATGAAACGCTTCTTATGTTACTGAATTAATCGGGCATATTTATCTAGTATAACAAAATCTATAGAAAATATTAAACTCACGTTAATCATATTTTTGGTAATCAGTACAACTTACAATGTAAAAGAAGTGTTGTTTTAAACGTTTGTAGGTTCATTATTTGTATTTAATGAATATCGGTATATTTCTTGATTGTAACTATTGGACAAAAGGAAATATTTCGATTGTTCACCCAAAGTCTTGGTAACAGAATTACTGCCCCCAGTGGCTTGGCGGTAAGTCTGCGCACTTACAACGTTAAATATTGCGTTTCGAGACTCGTGGTGGCAGAGAACAGGTAGCCCGTTGTGTAGCTTTGTGCATAAAATACATCAACAAAATTACTTCTGCAGGTGTAAGATTCCGCCGATCACGTCTATCTTACAATACCGCATAACAGTTTTTCTAAGCTCTCAATTTGACTTGTGAACCTGAAAATAGCACTGACCACCATCTGTGAACTATTTACAAGTCAGAATTCTCAACCAATGAGTTACAATCGAACAGACAGCCAGTATCTTGCAGAGTCTAGAACATGGCGATTCGAAGTTATTATAGCAGTAAAAGGTGATCTAACTTGGTATTAGATGGGAGATACTAAAGAATCCTTAGTTAGTGTGCTTCTGCATACGTGTGGCCATCGACAAGAGGCTGCATGTGAATGCGACATAGCTTCACCAATATCTAAAAATATTGCACTTGCAACATTACAAAACGGGTAGGATTAACTAAACAATTCGGAGTGTTTGTGTTTCTTCCACTTGTTAAAGTATATTTTAACTGACATCAGTTAACATTTGGCATTCAGATATAAATTTGCCTTGCTTTTAGGGTGTAGCATAGAATCATGATCCATTGATGTTTTAATCTTTGTAAAGTATTCGCTAGGTGGATCAAAGAATCCATGACGTTTTGTTCTGTGTAAAGTATACCTTGTGTGTTTCATAGAATCCATGATGTTTTGATTTGTGTAAGGTATACCTTGTGTGTTTCATAGAATCCATGATGTTTTGATTTGCGTAAGGTATACCTTGTGTGTTTCATAGAATCCATGATGTTTTGATTTGCGTAAGGTATACCTTGTGTGTTTAATAGAATCCATAATATTTTGGTCTGTTTAAAGCATACTTTGGGTGTTTCATAGAATCCATAATATTTTGGTCTGTGTAAAGTATTCTATAGGTGTATCAAAGAATCCATGATGTTTTGATCCATGTAAAGTATACTCTGTGTGTATCATAGAAGGGCTAGTGTGAAGTTGCAGAAATAAACCCTTTCTAGTGTGCATACTCTCTTTTGACGACCATAATTATACGTTAGATAAATATTTTTAAGTGTAATGAGGTTTGAACTAATTTATTATACAAAAAGAATAATCACTTTTAAGAAGGAGAATACTTTTTTATTATCTGCCAATTTAAAAATACGAGTTCAATTTACTTTGCAAACACTTAAAGTATTTTTATGTGTACACACACACACACACATATTAAGACTTACCTTTTTTCAAAAGCCGAATAAAGTGATTCAAGTTTACAAGTTCAAGTTGAACATTACAGCACTGAAAACACTAATAATATTACAAGGTCTTGATCATATAGAATGAAAAAGGATCCACTTCCTTTGTTATGCTCCTCTCATTTGTCACTCATATTATAACATTTCTTGTTGGTGTTTGTCAAAAAGTTTGCAGCAGAACAAATTTCACAAAACAATGATTAAATTATATTTATAACGGAAAGAAAATGAAGTTTTGTCAAACTTCTTTTTACTTCCTCCGAGAAAAAACAAACAAAAAACGATTCTCTTGTAACTGACACCCATTCAACCAAATACAGGGATTTATTCGGCGTGATTGCGTGACAAGTAAACAGGATATGAAAGTGAACACTACTTCCGGTAGAGTCCATTATAGCTAAACGGGAAGAGAAAAACTAACAATATACTTGTATGGAAAGTACAGTTCTTAAACCCCCTTTAATATCGTTTTTATCGACAATCTCTATCCAGGTGATATAATACGACCAAGTACTTACTTACACGGATTTTCGATTATGCATTGATATAACGTAGATAAAATCAGTTACAGAGCACGTGACATGTATAATTTATTTCAACTATGTCACGAACTTCATTATCATCATCTAGCTACAGTAGTTCACAATATCTTGATTAAGTACAACGTTGCCTATTTTTAACTTCTTTTAAGTGCATCTAAATTGATTTTGGCAAAACGGTTATTCGATTCCGATAAGGCCATGTCTTTCAAATGTCAAGACTGACAAACAAATAAACTTAATATTATTATATGATTGGAGGTAGTGTAGGAAGAATAATACACACGTAAATAATTAGAACTTGATAATTTTTATTATTCTTATTTTTCGTTTTTATTTCAGTGAAGTTAAACATATTTGAAACTTCCCTATGTCCAGATCTCGCCCTCTAACTACAAAATTGAACTTACATTATATATTTCAGGTTATATTCTCGGTGTCTATTCAGAAAATAAGTTATTTGTTATCATGTTTACTTTTACGGTAGACTCTTCAGAATTTTGTTATTAAGAACTTTTCTTGCAGTAATTTTTATTGTCTTCTGCGACATAAAAAGCAACAACATACATCTGTAGTCAAGATTAAAATAGGAATTACCGGGGTGCTGCTAATTCCCCATCCGTATTGTTTGTTCCTAATTGTAAAGATAAAAGGATGAAAATGAGCTAATCCATCAGTGAGGTCAGTCTACCCAAAGAGCGTGATGGAAAGATGAAATCCTTCATCTGAACTATTGTAGGTCGAGGTTACTTATTCAGAAATTTAATTTTAGTTTGTTTACGTCACACGCATGTGCATTACGAACAAACTGATAGAATTTGGACAGGGCGGGCTTTAACAGTACACCGATAATGCTTATTCTCATCATGATCTTACGTGTGTGAGTGAGTGTCTTTTTCAAATTCAAATTGGATTACATTTATTATTATATGCAAAGAATAGATAATTAGATTTAAGATTTCCTTTATTCATAGAAAGTATGCTGTATTACAACGTTGTATTAGAAAGTGTTAATTGTGAGCACCAGGTATTGCTTCATATTTAATTTATTTGATCAAAATTGTGCAAATTGTTGATATTTGTATTGGATGAAGACAGTGAGAATGATCTTGATAATCAGAAAGCTGTTGCTACCTGTTGAAATATTTTATTAACTGCAGTTGAACTTGGCGATCTGTTAGGTGTTAAAAACATCCAAGCGAAAATGAACTATGTAACTTTGATGTCAATAAAGATGTTGCTTCTGGAGTTAGATGTGATTAAAGTTTGATACAAGAAAAATGTGTTTCAACTGTAGTTAGTGTTACAAAACTTAAGAAAAAAAAAGGTTCGTGTACTACTTGGAAAAGGGCTTTATGTAACTCTGAAAAAACTTTTATTTGGGGTCAAACTATCTCAGAAACGGAGCTTTTAGTTATTTATTTTTAGAGCTTACTTTTTAGGAAATATTTGCATATATGTTTGTTAAAAGACGTCGTGAAGGATGTCAATTGTTCGTGTTTAGATAAATTCTTCTTCTACAACTTCTAGTGTGAAACTGATGGTGGACGTATTTTGTTTATGTTGTTGTTTTTCAAGGATTTAACAACTGATGTTTAGAAAACTATCAAGCGATGCGATGAAAATTGTATATATTTACCTGAATATCTAGTGTTTCGGTAAACATTCATTTGAAAGAAAAAAAAAAACGTTTCATTTGGGCACCTTGACTATCTATTTAACTACTTACATTTTCTCTCTGTTGAATAGCTAAATAGAAAAATTAATACTGGTAGGTCGAGAGTGCCGGTTCTCAATACTACAAATGTATCATCCACGTAACTCTTTTGAAGCTGTTAGTTAAATTGACTGTTACAGCGGAAATAGAAGAACGCTTGGATGTTCCGCGAAATGAAAAAAAAATGTACTTTGGAAACAAAGTTAGTGTTAATAATTCAAATTATTCTGAATAATTTAAACTATTCAGTTAAACGTTTTGCTCTATCTCAAAGGCTTAAATTAATTTAAATTTTAGTAACTTAACAAGCTGAGTCGGTAGAAGTCCAGATGACCAAATAAGTGACACCAAATTACATATCTTTCTTTATGGACCTTTTTAGATATAAAGGCAGAGATCTCTTCTGAGTTACCAACACAAAATACGGTCTCTTTTTCTTCTTATAAATAAAGGAGAAAGTAAGTAGGAATGAAGGATTTTGATATAATGGGGATAACCGAAATACGGTTATAAGTTATTTATTAAGGATAGAATACTATAGAGAGGAGGAGGTGTGGCTTTATATGTAAAATGTGAGTTACATCCTGCTGAAGTTGAGGATATCAAAGATAACAGCAAGTACATTGAATCCGTTTGGGTTTAGCAGATATAAAGAGAAAAGTCTTTTAGTTGTAATTTATTACAGACCACCAGATGATACTGATGAAATTAATGAGAAACTTTACAGTGAGATTAAGATTTCAGCTGTTAATGAGGTCATAATTATGGGTGATTTTAATTTCAGGCATATAGATTGGGAAGCGCTAAAGTCAAACCATGAGGAAGAAAGGTTTTTGGAAACTGTTCAATATGGTTTTCTTCACCAATTGGTCAAGAAACCTACTAGAAATGATGCTATTTTAGATTTATGTTAACTTCTAATATAGAAATGGTTGAAATTGTGGAACATTTGGTGCAAGTGATCATTGCTCTATTAGATTCGATGTTTAGCTGTATATGGAGATCAGGAATAATTACATTTTTTGGTTACAAGTTTCAAAAAAGCAAATTTTATAGAGATGTGACAAGAACGTGTTTTTTTCTTCTTCTTCTTAAAACGTTTGCTATTCATACTTGGTACAGAAATACAAAACACGAATATTCAAACTGTACTCTAATCATAACGTGGCTTTGTTAAATTCCACAATACGCGAAGATGCATGATATAAATTAGAGGTACCCCGGTGGGTCAGCGGTATGTCCACAGATTCACTAAGCTAAAATTTGGGGTTCGGTTCTCGGCGGGGATATAGCGCAAGTAGCCCATTGTGTGTCTTTGTGCTAAACACAAACAAACGAGCGAACTCGGTAATAAAAATGGACAGACATACTAACTTGTAGCGCCTATAACGAGATTTGGTATAACGTGGTTGCGCTCATTAGCTCCAGTTAACCGCATTTTAGGCCCTAAACAAGTCCCGGGCAGCATAAAATGAGTCATATTATTCTATAAAACACCATATAATCAATGTTAAAAACCCATATATTATACACAATTCTAAAAAATGAGCTTGTTCACAGTCTCAATAATACAATAAAATACCAAATGATTTACTGTACGGGGTAGAAAAATAACCCGATGAGACTGAAAACAGTATCATGCGCTCAACGTGTTTAATGCGTCATCTTCAGAGTGCAATGTTTTGTAAGAATCACACTTATTTATACCCTTCCAAATAACCACCAGATACACTTTACATATTAAAAATTTCATGCCATCTGCTGACAACATTTCCGTCAACCTCATTCAATATATATATTTTTTTTTATTTGATTATCCCAATAGATTCGGGTTTATTATATTATCCTGTACAATAAATTATTTGATATTTTATTGTATTTTTGAGACTGGGACACACACACAGTCTCATTTTTTAGAATTGTGTACAATAAATCGTTGTTTATTAAAAAGTGGGTTCTTAACATTGAGCATTTACACAAGCGCCATTGAATTTTAATACTATCTAATGAGGGTGGCACTAATTGCGTGTGGAAAGATGGCGGACGCGTGGCTCAAACACAACGCCAACTAAGGGTTATCCATATGTTAAAACACGACAAGATGAGCTTTGAGAGAGACACATTTCTCATTCGCCTCTCCAAGACATGAAGTTTACGATATTAACCAGCAAAACCTATCAATTTTATTTCAGAAAATGAATTTTCAAAAAAGCTTGATCCATTATTAAAAACGCAAGACGAGAGAATTAGTTTACAGATTCTTTACGGATCTTAATGTTTTATTCTGATGTCACTAGAGTGACCTAGCTTGTTTGTGAATTCTGCTTTGACGTATCCCTAATGATGATGAGAGATGGTGAACACTGAAGATGTTGGTAGTTTACAAAAAAAAAAGAAGTAACTTTGTGCTTTAGGTTTTATTTCCAAATGTTCTTTGACTTTTAAACACTACGTATATTTTACTTTTAACACTGATGAATAGTTTAACACCAGTTTTAACACTAATAGTTCTGATGAAATTACTGCCTAATTTTTCTGGGTTTTTTATGCTTCTATATTAATGTACCAACCAGATTATATCCTGGGAAAATGATTTCCATAGACAACATACGTTAACTAGACTTACGTAAACTTATAGTTAAGCATCCTTTTAAACTAAAAACGTTTTCAATAACGCAAACACGTAGTTTCCTAGTATGTTACGTTACAATATTTATTCACGAAAGTAATTCAACTCATTCCTCATTTTGTACTAGGGAACTCTGAACTCTCTCGTTTTAGCCGCGGCATAACAGCTCTGAGTTTTTGTCATCTCTTGACCCATTGAAGATCTGATTACAGTTGTGGACTCCAGTTAAACCCTTTCGATTGATATATTTGACAACGCCCAAGGTCTCACAGATTAATTTACTCTAATCCTGCATAAAATAATTTCCATGTGCCGCGGCTATTGAGGATTTCATCGTTTCCTTTTTTAATATGGGACTCGTATAGTTCACTGGTAAACACAACATTGTGCAATACTGGATACCGTTGATGAACTTAAACTTTTTATCACATACCACGAACTTTTCGTAATTTTCAAGTTTCATGGTTATATATACACCATTAAGTTTAGAAATAGAAATAATGCTTTATTTAATTAAATAATGTTATAAATACAGTGGATATGTTATGAACTCTAATTTAATGTTGTTTCAATAATACATGCGCATAATTTAATTATTAAAAAACTTTTCAAAAATTATAAATATTATAATTCACCTACCTTCTCTAAGTTATGTGAATAATAAAATAAAATCCGTAATGAAAAAAAAAACAAACAAACAAACAAACTCGTAGATTACAGTGAATCTCTATCTTGAATATTTAGGCCTACTGGGTACAAAGTTTACCGATATAGAACGTTGGCAATATTTGTTTTTCTTATCATAATAGTAAGGTATTAAATATTACATACATATTATTCATATAACCTTTCACTATAACGATTGTGATGTTAAATTTATCATATATTAACATATCATAGATAAATAAAATCAGTGATTTGAAATGCTTTTAAATGTTATAATTACAATTTGTTGTTGCTTTATCTATATAAATATAATAGTACTGTTTGTCGTATGTCCATGTAACTACTTCGCAGGGTGTGGATGGATCTTCGCCAAATTTGATATGGAGGTTAATTGAGTTCGTGTGGAGATACATGCAAATTTGCGGTGTCACATTTTGTGTTTTGCAGTTTTTATGGGCGTTTTTTACAATTACGTTTAAGCGAAGCAACTTTTCATGTCCTAAGATAACCTTTCATTAATCATGAATTTACATAACTTCCGTCCAGGGGTCGGATACTCCAGCTAGTTATTGAATAATTTATCAGAACAACTTTCTAATGAAATTATATATGAAAGTAAATATAACTTTTAGCAAGTCCGTGAGGTCTGAATAGCCTTTATTTCGGTTGTCAACTTTTAACTGGATCACATGTGTGAAAAATGTAGCTTCAGCTTGTTGCAACGTCTGTGCATTCACTAGTTATAATGTGTTTTGTACGATTTCACGATGACACATCTCGCACCGCCAAATTAAAAGAAATCACGATCTGCATTTTGATGCTATTTTTTTTGTTATAAGAGTGAAAGTCATATTCCACTCTTCAGTCAAACAAGAAACGTCCAAGGGTTGCCATTGATTAGCTTCCTTACTTATAGTATATCAGTTTAAAATTATGGAGGTTAGCGAAAATTGCTTTGTCCTTTGTGCCAATATCGGAAAACAAAAAAGCCAAGTTAACGTGAAAATATTGGACAAAGCCTCGTCGGAAGTAATAAAAACATGGAGTATAAACTCGTAGTTAACTGATTTTCCTAGGTATCGTTTCAACTGCTAAATTTGTTTGTTTTGAATTTCGCGCAAAGCTACACGACGGCTATCTGAGCTAGCCGTCCCTAATTTAGCAGTGTAAGACTAGAGGGAAGGCAGTTAGTCAACACCGCCGACCGCCAACTCTTGGGCTATTCTTTTACCAACGACTAGTGGGATAGACCGTCACATTATAACGACTCTTCGGCTGAAAGGGCGAAAATGTTTGGTGTGACGGGGATTCGAACCTGTGACCCACAGATAGCGAATCAAGCACCCTAATCACTAGGCCCCTGTTAGATTTGATGAGTGGAGATAGACTGAAAAGTCACTTATTGAGGCCCCCAGTAGCACAGCGGTATGTCTGCGGACTTACAACGCTAGAATCCGGGTTTCGATACCCGTGGTGGGCAGAGCATAGGTAGCCCATTGTGTAGCTTTGTGCTTAATTATAAACAAATAAACACTTACTGAATTACAAATAATGTCCCGTCTTTTTGTAAAGACCTTCCATGCTGTTTTTTTTAGTTCCTTCTCTAAACACACGAGTTGTTCATTCCGCGAGCTTAAAACAAACTAACATTAATTTTAACAAAACCCAATCACACACAACAGTATCTACTTAACAGGTTCGGTGTTACTTATTAATTAATAAGTTGTACAAATAAAAAACAGACAAACCAAGTAGTATTTCGACTTTATTTAACATTACTTCAATAGTACAAGTATGGCTGAAACTTTGTAGGAATGAATTTACACGACTCAAATGAAATATTTACTGCATAAATATACAAATGTCCCTTTAAAAATTGTGAGTTAACTCTCTCTATCTGGTAAATATACACCTTCAGAGCAGTCAAAACACCATCTGAATAACGTTAGAACCGTTACTCGAAGAATTTTAGCAGTTTTGAAGGTTAATAAAATCAAGGAAAAAGTGTTTTGTTTTCAGTAAAGATGTATTATAAAATAAAACATTTTACAGCATGGGATATGTACCTGGCCGTAGCTAGCTATGAGGTCACCGAGGTCCGAACCTCAGTTAAAAATTTGAAATTAAATGTAACGTACTATTTAATTTTACACCCATATAAAATGGTATACAATATATATATATATATAAGGCTGACCCTATGAGTTTGTTGAGTAAATTTTCACTCTGGCTACGGCCATGGATATGTATAATACTTACAGGAACTTATGAGAGAAAGTGAAGTAGAATGTAATAATATATCAACTACACCATATCTTAATTTACCCTATTTAGAAAATATTAATACATAAATGCCACAAACATACATAAACTTCATACACACATAAACACACTAGAGGGGACACGACAAACAAATTATTTTATATTAACGTCTTGTAAATGTGAGCAATATTTCATATAAAGACACAATAACCCGAAAAGTAACCCATTGCGTCTTCATTTCAAAGATACTTTACTGTGTCCACTCATAAAGAAATCGGTGATACTACTACTACTACTACAAATTCATCACTTAATGCCATCTTTCGGTAAATTATGCATAACCTTCAGTGACTGTGATATATATATATATATATATACACACGGAAACATTATACAGAAAAAAAAAGTCTAAATATTAATTTCTAATTAGATCACGAAATGGAGCACATAAATACATTATTTATATATTGTAAAAGTGACCAAAATACAACACAATAATATGCTACATCCGCATAATTTACTAACATAAAAAAGGTTTGGTTGTGAATCTCACAAGGGTACTGCTAACGCCGACTAATTGTATTTTTTATCATTGCAACTGTGTTAAAAAATTGAACAAATATTATGTATGTATTTTATAACCACTTAAGCTGAAAAAAATAGGCTCTTTGCAGTTTATCTAAAGATGAACATAACAACCGCGTTTGTTGTTTAATCTTTACAGACATGATATTAAAACCTTCTTTAATTAATATACAACAATCAAATTAAAGGTTCTTACCAATATAAAAATGGTAGATTACTGGTAGAAATTTACATAATATCAACGATCATGGCATTCACATTTAATTTCTTTTATAATTTTTAAGCAATGGTTACGTCACATACCTTCAACTCAGTAAAACAAAAGTATATTATAATTTTTCAAGTGACCTAAATTACAACAACTGTTTGTGGCTACATCTGGGAAATGAAACGAAATAACGTTAATTTTTCTATCCATACACTCACTGATCGTAATGCCCAACTTTTGTTTAAGTATTTATCACAGAATATATATTATTTTCAAAACCACATCTGTTTTGTGAGTTTTTTAAAGAAGTTTCTCATCTGTTTAATAATTCAATAGTTAGAATGTAAAAACAGTACATTCTCTGATCATTCCATGAGACATTTTGTGATATTGTTTTATTCAAAAAATCACCAGTAAATCTTTCACCACTCTATATACAACTGACAAAGGATTTTAAATACTTTCATTTATAATATAATAGTCTATAAAAAATGCACAATCTACTGTTGAATGTTGCTCTTATAAAGGCTATAATTAGTTTTAATGATGTCAAACAAAACTTGCAATGGTAACGAAAAACCTCATCTAGTACATGCTAAGAAATAATTCATAATTCAAACTCTTTGCTCTTTTAGTTTAAATGTATCTACATCAAAACTAAATTTTGGATTGATGGTTATTCTGATTTATAAATAGTGAGTATATTAAAGGTTATTTTGATATACCCAGTACTTATAAATCTGAATGACCAAGATTAAGTTGAAATTATTGAAAAGAGCTTGACCAGAAAAATAAATTCGTGAAATTTTAGTTTTCACTTTCTGCTCTTTGGGGCTTTGAAATTTTACTTGAAAACTAACTTTTTGTTAATAATGTTTCAGCTTTAATACTGTAGTTATTTTAGTTATAGCAATGATAACACTGGTCGACAAAATCGAACGTTTTTCTCTCATCAAAGATGTAAACACACTTTCCTAGACCAGTTTTCCATGCTGATTCCAAATCTGTTTTCTTCTAACATATCTAGTTATGATTGGTGTTATCTTCAGCACAATTTAGGTAATAATCACACATTAGGCTAGTTAACATTACAACTTTATTCATTTTTCAGTATACTTCCAATGAATGTTATATACATCATACAGTTGGTTAAATTTATACAGTTCACACATATGAAAAATGAAATGTACAACAACTTAAATTATAATAATAATAACCTTTCAAATTTGATCAGTCTCATCACGAAAATTTGATGCACTAGAGGAAAACCAAAAACAGATTTGGAATCAGTATCCAAAAAGCTATCTAGCCCACCTATAATTATATATCTGATGAAAATGACTTGTTGGCCAGTGTAATCAATGTTTCAATAAAAATGTTTAATATTTTGAAAACAAGCTCAGGAAAGCCATCCAACACATTTTGATTCAAATATAAAATGAACTGTTTAAAAAACTGAAACAGATGGTCATCAATGATTATCACGTTCATCTTCTCACTAAAAAGTACTTAAACAACATTTTAAACAATAAGCAGGAATTTCAGGAATCAAATTTGGTTAGTTTTACTCAGGTTATGTAAAACCCATAAGTACAAAAAAGGAGGGGAACTTTCTTTACTTCTGAGCCAACAATATTTGTGAAAATAATAATGGTATAAAGATACTAAAAATTTAATAAATATAAAATTGGTTATTCATTACCAGTCAAATGACAAGTGTTATATAAAAACTAGCTTAAAGTTTGTTGGGGATAGTTGGAATTGGTCTATTTCAATTAAATGCTTGCAATCAGAGACTGCAGTGACTATTATTTAATTTTTAGATCTATTATTATTATTACAAATTCTATTATAATAAATAAGACAATAACATTAAAACAAGTTTCTAATAATACCTAAAAAATACATTTTTGTCACTTTTACATAACTGTTGTTTCTCTTTTTGTCTATAAAAGTAGAATAAATTTTAGCTATTTCCCTTCTCACTTCATATCAGTGACAACTGATATCCTGTCACTTAATTGACTCTCTTTATTAACCCATTAACTGCGTATGACGGAAATATCCGTCAGTCGCACAGATATAACTATAACTCTATGCGAATGATGAAAATTACCATTTTATTGTGATTGAAGGCAACTCAGTTTTATCCGTGAGTCAGAAAAAGGCAACTGAGCTGCTCCTGCCACAGTTAATGGGTTAATTAAATGGATGTACTTCATTATTCTAAATTTTAGGTTAAATTGGATGTTTTATTCCTTAACTATTAACATATGACAAAAAAAAAGTTCATGAAAAATCATGAGTCCATTTTATTCTCAAAAGCAACTTTTCTAGTTGCTGAAATTCATAGCTCAACCACTAAAAGTATCGACAAGTATTAAAAGAGGGAAAATGAAATGTTTAGTTATAGCTTTTTAGAAGTTTGAGAGGAATCGGTTATGGAATGTCTTGTCTAAAGCAAGAGAATGAGTACTACATGCCTGATTCTGCAATTCCTTCATCATCTGCAATACACAAAATTAACTCATAAACAACTACCTAAAGTTAAATATACATCATAAATATATAAAAACTGAATCAAAGCTAAACCATTCACACAAACATATAATATATATATATATATATATATACACACACACAGGGTGAGGCAAAACTGACAATACAGTTGTTTCATCTACAACACAGTATAATTTCTAACTACTAATACAAAACAAACAACAATTAATTTGGTTTCAATTGTCTTCATTATATTTCTTTTGTACCAACCATATAATATTAACAATACCAATATAGTACTAATTGTATAGTAACTTTTTTCCCACCCGTATAATACTAACAATACCAATATAGTATTAATTGTATAGTAACATTTGCCTCACCCTTTATATACCACAAAACCATTACTTATGAAAGTTTGAACTAGAAATTCAAGTGATTTATTGTTAGTATAGCAGTAAAAATATAATATGTAACATAATAAAAATTCTAAAATAAAATCAGTAGTTAACAAATACAGTGAAAATTCTTATAATTCTTGGAATTACATGTCACACATTTGCAAGTACTTTCTATAATAGTTAGTTAAGTTCTTATCGCACTGAATACATACTTTGCTGATGTAATATAGAGAATTTTTCATTAATATTATCCACCCATATAAAAATATCAAATACAAAATAACCAAGCAAAATATTTCTATATAAGCTCATTGTAGTGGCTATGAGGTTTCATTAAATACTGGTTTTAAATGCATAAATAACATTTACAAACAATATGACAAAAACTTTAATTATCAAAAATTACTTTAAAAAGTTAACATTCAAATTAAATTTTCTATTAATTTCCATTGAACAATATCTCAAAATATAATAGTAAAAATTATTTCAATTAACTTAAAGAACAATATATATTTTTCATAAGTATCATTAATCCTTTTTTGTTCACATAAACATCTGGTAGAATTGATCAGTCATTGTATGTGAGTATATTCAGTTTTATTTTACAATTGACAAAAAATATGCTCTTAAGTAACATTTATAACCACTTATATATTTATGCACGTACTATAAAACATAAAACATGGTTAACATTCGAAAACTGTTTGAGACACTGATGCATTATCTAAAATAAATTAATGTGATAAATAGGAGTAAAAAAATAAATAAAGCATTAAAAAAGGCATCAAGAAACTTAGGTCTACACATTTATTACCAAAATAAAAGGTAAGTTGCAAAAAGTTTAAGTAAACTACTACAGATGTAAAGATGATAAGTTGCAAAATATACATAACCATGAAACACGAGAAAATAGAGTACAGTAAGATATAAAATATAGGGAAACAGAAAAAAACATTAGTCCAAACAAATATTAGAAAAAGGATGCACAATTATTAAGATATATATACATATATCATAATAAAAGAAATGAGTGATACAGAACATAAGCTATAAGAATGATCAGAGAAGAAGAGTAAAACATTAAAAAATTATTAATAAGAAGAACAAATGAGAAAACAATAAAGAAAAAATTTATACTTTGAAGATCTAAACATACAAAAAAAAAAGAACACAAAAATGAGAAAAAGAGTGATGTATAAAGAGGAAAAAACTCTAAAAAAGAAGAAAATACTGTAGAAAGGTATAAAAATCTGATATGTCACTTTGAACTTCTGATAACAGCAGGACAGAGGAACAGAATAGTACCAAGATAAAAATGTACAAAGTACTTTAAAGAAAAAAAAAGTTTTATAGCAGAAATAAAACAGAAAAATGTGCAGAGCAAAGGGTGAGATTGTAACACAAAGTAAATACTCTTTTAAAATGATGATGTAATGAATGAAAAAACAAAAAAAAGCCAAAAATATGGCTAAATTATCATAAAAAAAAGATTTAAAAACAAAATTTGATTGATAATGTATGACACATGTGGTTAAGTATGTTAATTTAAAGCATGGACTAAAAAAGACAATCCACAAAGAAAAGAGAAAAAGATTACCCAAGCACCTGTTAAAAACCCAAAGTATGGAAATGAATCAGGAAACAGCATGACGTTACACAAAGTAGTTGTTGTTGGCTGGAAAAGAGCGGGTTAAAGTGAAAACCACACTTTCACACAATTGCTAATATATTATTGCTAATTAAGTTATAATACTTGTAGTTAATATTAACTTATGATTAAAGCAGGCTCCGTACACAGATAAAAACTCGAAATATTTACCTACTAATTAACATAGCTAATTAAATATGATGTTCAAACTATATTACTTACAATGATTAGAATACATTGTTTCATCAGCTGGGAACCCTAACTGTTAAAAATATTTTTTGCCACAAACTCACGGTATTTATGTATACATTTTAAACATGCATCTAAACACAAAACTATTCATAAAATATTATTAATAACATTTATCTGTTATTTAATCATAAAGTCCAAAACTTTTAATTTATGTATTAAGAGTTCTGCTACTGTAGATTGTGAAAACAATCAATAAAAAACATTAAACGTAAGCATAACTCATGTTATTTTCACAAGAAAAACATCAGTAAGATATGTAAAAATCATACCCAAAAAACAGTTAATATCTTCCTTTGTTTGATAAAAAAATTTTAGAAAAAAACAACAACAACCAAAGTTATTACTGTACTAAAAGTTACCTTCAAAACACTGGTTATCATGTATTTCCGATCTACTAAGTGCTTCCACCACATCTTCTTTCCCTTCTAACACACACTGCAGACACTGATGGATGCAAATGTACTGTTGCTGTTTAAAAATATTACATAAGTCATCTGTCATGAAGATCACATTAATGTAAAAAAAGAAGGTAAAACTTGGCACATGGATTTCAGGTGTTACACACACGTGACTATATACAATATCAGCCAAACATTTCAAGTCAAGGTATCAACACTCAATCTTTCATGAAATGTCGCAAGGGAAAAAGAGATGTTTTGTTTTACATGTTTTATTTTTTTCTTAATGTTATCTTGAACGTTATGATATCACGTATAAGAAGTTTATTTTGGAGATAAGTTAGTAGGTTTTCCTCTCGTCTTAACTAAACAACTATGTCAAAGAGGTAAGGATGCTACTAGTTTTTCTTCACTCTTTAATTTTAGCTCTACAATCTCTCAGTGTTGCCAGAAATAAGTTTTGGCTTTTTCTTTTGCAATATTACTTTTTAACTAGTGCCACAAACTTGCAAGTGGATTAGCATTGAAGTTTTAATTGGGCTGGTCATTTCATAACTTTTATATCATTAGATCTGTCTTTGCCTCCAAATAATTCTTAGTAAGCAGAGCATTGAGCTATATTTTTTCTATTGAAATTACATCTCTTAGTAAGCAGGAAAGTATTAGGTTATCAAGAAATTAATGTAGTGTTTTGGAACACTTTCATTAACTACCCCCCAAAAAAAAGGTACATCACATATAATAGTTAAATGAACTGGCTAAATGTCACATTAATGTAGCCTATATAATGTGTAAAGTTTAGTTAAGATTATTTACAAGTATAAAGACAACTATTTAAGATTATTTACAAGTATAAAGACAACTATTTAAGATTATTTACAAGTATAAAGACAACTATTTAAGATTATTTACAAGTATAAAGACAACTATTTAAGATCTATTTACAAGTATAAAGACAACTATTTAAGATTATTTACAAGTATAAAGACAACTATTTAAGATTATTTACAAGTATAAAGACAACTATTTAAGATTATTTACAAGAATAAAGACAACTATTTAAGATTATTTACAAGTATTAGTTGAATCGTTGGAGATTTATTTCCTACTCACGAAAGAAAGCCACCATTAAGGAAACGGTTAGACACATCATAAGCTACTGCACAATACTTTCACAACACAGAATATGTATACAGCTTTTTAAACCTTTACTCCTTTCATTGTATCAGGTAGAAGCACTTATTGCTTCACAGGATAGACTTTAATAGGAGTGCACGTGAATTTGTACCAAAACCTTTTGTCAAAAGATAAGTTACAAAATAATGCTGCCATAAAGTCAAATGATTTAAATTTTGTATTACCTCATTCTGAACCATCCAAACCCTCTCTTTCCTCATCTCATGCACTAGGCCAAAAATGTCCACATAGTCATACTTCTGAATGTGTTGTAAGATATGATCCAGAGCAATGAACGTTCCTGATCTTCCAACCCCAGCACTAACAATAAAAACCATATATCAGCTCTTTCAGCTTAACATTACAAGTTGTATAATTTAAGAAACACTACCTATTTTACTTTTTTAGCATGTATCCCACAATAACTATCAAATATATTATAAACTTCAAAAGCTGGTTGTTAAATGTTTATGTAAAGATTAAAGATTGTGAATTTATGGTGCTTTAATAGGTAAATCTATAACCCAAAAGTTATAATTTTCCTATACTGAAAATGTATTTCTGATAGGTACTTACTTCCTCTCGCATAAATAGATATTCTCGTTCAGTGATGCCCTCTATATTGAAAAAAAAAAATTTACACATGCCACAAGCCTTTTATCTTCCCTCAATTGGAATTGACTGATCCCATAGAGCCTCTCATGCAAATCATCACGCGACAACCCTCCACCAATAAGAGTGTGACATACTCTCTTCACGCATGTGACTCCCTCTATTCTATTCTACTATCACTTTGAGTTTTGGCCGAAAATGGAAGCACCAGTTTTCAGTGGGGAGGAAGGGTAGGAAGTGTGAGCGGAAGTAAGTACCTATCAGAAATACATTATTGGGAATAGGAAAATTATAACTTCCAATACGGTACATTCCCTCTGCTCACATAAATAGATAGAATCTCATATTGAATAGGCGGAGGGACTGGTGTGACGGAGAAAAAGAAGTATTCGAAGGACACTCCTTAAGATGAGACAGTCATAATCTAAGATCTGATGTGGGAGGGAGAATGCACCACTTCTGAACCAGGTATATTCTTCACCCATCGTAGAAAGGTGTTGCATATATGGGCAGAAATACATGGAAGGAGCACATCCAAGTGGGAGACAACTATGGCTGAATAGTGACCTGAACCATGCAATATTTATGAAACACAATCCCAGAACATATAAAAGTTGGTAAAATGAAAAGTATGTGCCCTTAGGTGTAGTGGCAAGGGTGCGATGGACTGTACACGGCAAGTCAACTACATCCCAAATTCATGCTGCTAGGTATTGACTTCCATGTGGGGGGTAGGAAGTAGGATCATACCACTGGCAAATCGACTACAATCCAAAACCCAGGCCACTGGGAACCGGCAACCATGTGGGGGGAGGAAAGAGGATCATACTATCTTCACCTCAAGTTTATGAGACCAGAGGGAATCTAGCACATCCCGACTCATGAACAGGGCACATGTTAATATGATAAACTGATAGATCAATCTGGGAACCCAACATCCGATAAAGTGAAATTGACCAGAACCACTCCAAGCACAGTAACATCCTCAGAATAATAAACATAGAGGGATAGCAGAAGGAGAAGAACCGTAGTAATCGGAAAGTACCTCCACCGTGACCCACAACATTGAAAGAGTAGAAATGAGGGAGGAATATAGACATCTGTAATACATATGTGAAGACTTATGTTGATTGCTTCTACTCTAAATCCAAAACCCAGCCCCTGGGAACTGACATCCACGTGGAGGTAGGATGAGGGATCCCAATCAAAAAAGTGAACTGCAATTTTGGCGGCTCACTCCCATTTGTTTTTGTGTGTTATATTGGAGGATATCACATCATCTATACCAGTAGAAAACCACCACCCTACTCTCAACTGAATGGTTTTATAATCATTTCTATATTTTGTTTGTATTTCATTAATACATTCAGGAAGATGCCTCCATGGTCTACCACCCCAAGCGGCTTGAAACTGGAAAGTGGTAAGGACTCTCAAACTACACTAGAAGAAAAGGGGCCCTCATAAATGAAATTAATGAAGTATAAATTAAACTAAAATACTGGTAAGAAGTATAAACTATAAAGAAAGATGAAAACAAATAATCGATACAGTGGAAATGCTAAGAAATTGTGTAGTGAAATAAACATAAGGATGTGATGAAGAAAAGATAATTAACCAAAATATCTATGAACCTGTAAAAAGAACCATGGGTAAATTGAAAATAACAGACACTTATTAAGCCTAATGAAACAAGATATTTAACCTAATTATCAATTAACCCAGAAGTAAAACTACAGGTAAACTGAAAATAAACACTTGTGAAGCCTAATTGAACAATACGTAACAAAGAATATCACTACGCACTAAAAGAAAACTTAACCAAACAATAAGTAGAAAAGGAAGTGTGTAGTAACAATAACCTATGTATGAGACGTTATGTATGGAAGAAAAAAAACAATATAGTGAAATTAATGATAGATATACTAGTACAATGAATGACAGGTATTCTAAAATAACAAAGACCATGGTAAGCCTAAGTGAATGATTTTGTAGAAAAAAAATACAACTACGACTAATAGCTATCCTAACTTGACTATGAGTATTAACCAATCTAATACTCATAGTAATGTCATGCTATGGAACCCAAATAACGACAGATAATAATATTAATAATAAAAGTATACAAAAACCATAACAGTATAATGTCCTATCTTTCCAAAGTTGGCAGACTGTATTTCAAATATGTGGGCCCCCAAACTCAAGGCGAGGCATGATGAATGATCCATCTCCTGACAAAGTAAAGCTGAAAAATCTTCTCGCATAAATGTGCAAATAGAACATATAATCTCCGAAGTGGTAACATAGAATTCATAATGCAAAATTAATAACCAAACAAACTGTGTTGGCAGAAACAATAAAATGTTTTTGTAATGAAATAATAAGTTCCGTAATTGGGTAGAAATATAAAATAATTCCACTTTGGAATAACTTAACAAGTTACAAATATCACTACTGTATAATAAAGAGTAAACTTGTTGAGAAGAATTAATACAAAAATATGGAAAAATATTAAAATATAACACTTGAAGAGAGCACAAACTAAACATTAGAACACGGATACTACCAAATGAGAAGTGATAGTCCAGTATAATTAAATAGAATCACATGCAACAAGAGAGTATGTCACACTCTTTATAGTGGAGGGTTATTGCATGATAGACTCATTGGAAACAGTCAATTCCAACTGAGGGGAGATAAAATGGCGTGCGTAATTATTTTTTTGCATATAGAGGGCAGCACCAAACAAGAATAGCTATTTATATGAGAGGAGGTAATGTACAGTATCAAAAAACTACTTAACTTTGAAAAAAAAGACTTAAAAACAACGTCTTTATTACATGATTACTCAAGAGAAATGTACACTGCAGCAGTCCACGCAGTCTGAAATATCATAAAATGAATAATATTTGTTCCTTTATAAAGACTGCTTTGCTTTTAGTTGAGATAAAAGACGATTCTATAAGATACACTGTTTTTCTGCAGCATTCAAGTAACAAAAGTTGAACAAAACCCAAATATCTATGGATTCTTACCTGCAATGTACAAGTATGGGTCTGTTATCTTGCACTACACATTTTCGGAAGGTACGAACAAACTTAATGAGTATTTGTGGTGGACTTGGCACTCCAAAATCTGGCCAAGTTGTGAAATGAAAGTGCCTTACTATACGAGATTGGTCATTCTGAGTAAAACAAAAAGAAAATGAAGTTATTGAAAAAAATGAAGTTTGAAATACATATCTAAAACTCTTAATCCAAATACATTTGGATATCATTTGTTCCCAATAAATTTTCTCTTTAAATACAAAAAAGTTATCATTTTTTGAACTATATTTGTTATGCATAAAACTAGTATAGTTGACTAACCTTTTTTAACTTCATATATAAATATTTCAATCAGTGCTTGTACTAGCTTAACAATGAAGTCTGATTTTATCAGCAAATATTATTATTATTATTGAGATTATACAGATATGATGTGTATTCAATAATACATACAAATATTATTTATTGAAATCATTAACTAATGTAAAAGTGGGGTTGATCTTTATTAGCTAAATGTAAACTACAGTTATGTCTAATGAGACAGTACTGTGTACAACTCTTTGAAACCTACAAGTAAACTAAATATGTTCTCATCCAAACCTATGTTTCTTCAAGAAATCCATATGGAGATAAGGTGACAAGATTCAAGGAATTTATTAATTTGAGAAGGATACAGTTAAACACTGATAAAACAATTGTATAAAACAGATAGAATCTGATATTTTGAATGAATTTTGAAAAGTAGAGTTAATCTGCATTAATGACAAATCTGTTTTTCCAGCACTCTTAGAAAATATTTGATAGCTTTATCAAGGTCATTTAATCACTGCATTTTAATATACCATTGATAGTTTATATAACTTTTACATCATAAATCCAAAAAGTTAAAAAAAACTAAGGATTAATTCATATCAATTAATTTTCATATAAAATATTGGAAATAAAATTCTTAGCTAACATTATTACAAAATGAGTTTTTCAAGCTGGACTCTTAATTTCTTAAATTTTTGCAAAAGGATATTTTAAGAGTTTTATTTAAGAAAATTTAAGCTTATTGATCAGAATGAAATTGAGTTTACCTTGCAGACTTGAAACTCTGATACTGTCCAGTCTGGATACAGGGATTCATTAAAAACAGTAACTTCAATATCCCCATAATATACAGATTGTGTGTCAAAGGGCCAATAATGATCACACTTTTCACGCCCTTTCTCAATACAACGAGTGAGCATAACAATGACACGGATGTTCTGTTCCCATATCATTCTCCAGAAGTCATCTCTGGTACTAAGAAGAGGGCCTTGAGTCACTATGAACTCTCGAGGAGAATTGTACCCCTAAAGAAAATGAAACAAGGTTAAGAAAGAACAAGAGAGCTCTTTTCTTATTAACATCTATCTATCTTATTCAGATGTCTGTTGTTATTTGGAATTTCTATTTTCTGGATTACTTTATGTGGGAATTTCATGAATTGAAATTGAAGTACAATCTTTTTTCTAAACTGTACAAAAATGACTCATGCAAAAAGTAAGTTTGAGCTTTAGTACTAGTACAATCAGAAAAAAAAGTATACTCTTTGAGCTATTATATGTTGCATGTTGGAATAGGAATATTGTTTTTATAGATGATTACTGAAAGACCATTTTATGAATTTTTGTCAAACGAACAAATCAAACAAATACAAAATTAAAAAACCATGAGCTACACTTACAGGAATATAGTTAGCATTTATATAATCAGAACCTTCCTCGTCATCTGTGGGAAGTAGCTTTACACGAGAGTGGTCATATGGTAGAATATTGGTGAAACGATTCTTTGGCCTATTTACAGGTAAGTCTGCAGCAGAACATGGTTTTTCACGTCCTACATATTTGAGAAGTTCAAACTCTTCAGAGAACCTAAATTCAGAATCTGCTGACATGATTTTAAAATGTTCTGCAAAATCTTTCAACTTCACAGGCCGACTGTAATAATAAAAAAGACAAGATTTACTTACAATGCAACTTTAGTCCCCCTCCTCCCCTAATATGCCCTATATTAGGGAACAAATATTAACAAATGCAAGGGCCCCCCAGTGGCACAGCGGTATGTCTGCGAACTAACAATGCTAGAAATCCATGGTGAACAGAGCACAGATAGCCCATTGTATAGCTTTGTGCTTAACTTTAAACAAACAAACAAAAAAAAACAAATGCAAGGTTACCAATAATGATTACAATTTCACAGTTTAATAGTCATGTGTGAATGTAGCAAAAAAGTGAAAAACATAAATTATCAATCTCCACAATTTGAGTGTATTTCATGGTATTGCAAAAAAAAAACAATACTTGAGTGCATTTCATGGTATTGCAAAAAAAAAACACACTACTTGAGTGTATTTCATGGTATTGCAAAAAAAAAACACACTACTTGAGTGTATTTCATGGTATTGCAAAAAAAAAACACACTACTTGAGTGTATTTCATGGTATTGCAAAAAAAAACACACTACTTGAGTGTATTTCATGGTATTGCAAAAAAAAACACACTACTTGAGTGTATTTCATGGTATTGCAAAAAAAACACACTACTTGAGTGTATTTCATGGTATTGCAAAAAAAACAACACACTACTTGAGTGTATTTCATGGTATTGCAAAAAAAAAAAACACTACTCCAGCAGGTCATTCAATTAGCATAGTGAATTAGTCACAACAATAAATAATTTCAATAAATTATTTGGTTAAAATGTTTAAGCTAATGACCTGTAAAGACAGTCTGATACTAAGCTAAAAAATTCAAATTTTATATCAAGTTACTGGACTAATACTTACAATGATGACAAGGCAGCCAAATGAATATTTTCATCAAAGTGAACCATTAAATAAGGCTACAATATCAAGTTTTATATTACACATTCCTCACACTTAATTTTCATTTCTGCAAACTAATGTAATAACAATTTTGTTTCAGGTATAGATGAATGAACATATATGAAAACACCAACACTCAGTGATATTTCTGGGAATTTGCACTTACAGGAAGGCTTTTTTTCTTCAAATTATTTGCTTGTGTTTAAAACACATAGGTACTTCTATGGGTTACCTGTGCTTTGCCCAACAAATATACCAAAACATGTTTTTTAGTACACAAGTCCACAAACTTACCTCTCATCGAATGGGGGCATTTTATATTAACAAAAAAGTGTTAAAAAAATATGCAATTTAGAGCAGCATTTAATTACCAACCTGGATTACGAAAAAAAAAACGATTATCAGAGCTAAATGAACTAAATTTGCTGACTTTCAAATGATTCTACATATGACCTAATGTGTACAATAAACAAATTTGCTTTTAACAAAAAAATGCACTTTTATTGTTGCACTGACACATTTGCATAACTAACTTAAACTTGGGGGCAAGAAATTATTAACCAGCCTTTTTTTAAAATACTAAAAAGAATCTTTTTCAAATTGTTTTCCAACTCATGCAAGTGATTCAGCTTCAAATTAAAACATATTTTGATAATGCCTGACTGCAGAACGTGGTCTTTCAGCTGGGAGGAGGGGTACATGTGCTGCCTCTGCAAAATCCATGTGCTTATAGAATGCAGTTTAATGTACATTGAGCAATACTGTAATATAGGTATAATGGTGTTTTTTGCATTTGTTTCAAAATTTCAAGAAAACAATCACCTTATTATGATTTCACTTTCATTAATCGAAAAAGCATCTTCTTTTCCATAAATGTCATCGGTTTTCTTAACAAAAGGTCTAAAATGGTGACGGTATATAATGATGAGAATGATACCCACAGCAGCCAGAAGAGACAAAGGGACAAGAACTCCAGCAATGAGTGCAGTATTATTTGGATCTGTTAATAAGAATTTACAAAACATATAAGAAAATAATCATTAATAAAGGTGGTTGAATTATTAAAACCACATTATACAATAAATTTTTCTTTGAAATTCAGGGTGTCACAGCCAATTCTTAAATTTTAAAAAAATTATAAAATTAGTATAAAAGGAAACTATCAAATAACAAGAAATAATTTTTTTTACCCCTTGATTTCAACGTTTATAAACAATATCCTTTTAAAATATAAACATAAATATACTATAAATCCCAATACGGAAAATATATGGTAACAAAGTAAAAAATTTGGGGATTTTGGTTCTCTTACTGATAACATAAAGTAACTTCTGCCCTATGTAGCTTTGAAATATTACAATGTATACCCTATGACAAACAGACTGAGAAAGCTTCACGTATGTACTTAAACTTGATTAAGATACACTTTAAGCTGGATAAAAACACTCAAAGAAGTATCACTGCAACATTTTCTGGTAAAAAATATTTCATAATACATGACAAGCTCATTTTTCCCCATGATAAAGAAATATAGGGAAGCCACACAAGTATAAAAGAATTTGAAGGCTTGATAATATGTGCATGATAAAAGTTATAAAAATCAGCTAAGTAATAGGTGACAATTCTGAGAGTTGTGCTACCAGGCACTGATCCCTCATATGACCTAAGGGTTGTGCCAACAGGTACTGAACCCTCATGTGAAGACCAAGTTATTTAGCTGATGACCTATGGATACAACCTGATACTAAGCAAACAAGCTAAAAAATTCAAGCTTTATATCAAGTTATTGGACCGGTACTTTACAGGTGATGGAAGAGAGTCCTTTACTTATGTTACCAGTGTCCTTATGGTTGTTTACTGTGTTACTGATTCTCTGTCTTTTACTTTTTCTAACTACACCATATGGTACTTTGTTTTCCAGTAGTTTCACTTCCTCTGATTGTAAATTGATGACCTTTATGGTTTCCACTTTCACGTTACTAGAGCAGAAGAGGTTGATATCCAGCCAGCAGACTTGTACTGGATTAGATAAAGATGCTTTTCTTGTAAGTTTGTCAGGTTCCTCATTGAGTTTTACCCCTGCATGGCCTGGCATGTATATTCAAATGATAGTCTTACCATGCAACTGTTTTGCTTTCTGCCATCATCAACAGATCAAACACTCTGAATTTTATGGAGTACTGCTCATCAGTTAGTGCATATTATATTGGTGGCACTGACTATTTGTGGTTTGGTGCTTTTAGCAATCCAGAGGAGAGATTGCTTTATGGTTTCCATTTGCATGCTTTGCTGCTTCTGGGAAGCTTGAATGCTCAATCAATCTTACACAGAATGTTGTTGCTCCATGAAATGACAAATGCCTGACCAGCTCTGTCACTATCTATGGTGTAGGAACTATCTGTGGCTATGATGACAGGTTATTATCTAATATGCTCTTTGAAAGTGCTGACAGACTTTTTTGCTTCCTCCCCTGCCCAATCTCTACATTTTCTGTTAAGGCTGATTTCCACATATCATTTCCACATATCATAGTGGATGTTTATTGCACATGGACAAACCTGAGACTTGCTTTTGATGAATTATCTCAGTGGTGGCTGTATACCAGCTGCACACTGATACCTTTGGTAGCTCTGGTTGATTTAGTGTTAATGTGGCTGGTGAAGTTGAGTTACATTGTTTCTTCCAATGGATCAGTAGTGCCCACAAAGGATGGTAGTGGCTTGCCATCATCAGCTTGTCTATTATTGAGTGTGCTCAACATGGCTTTGGCAGGACTGATTGTATAATTTGATCATTTGGTTTCAGCTTTGCTATAGCTTCTGCTGTATACCAGTATGTCATCAGAAAAGGTTAGCATATGTCATCTGGTTATAGTGTCAAGGCAGGCTAAATCCATGGTGTACGAGGCCTGTGAGAAAAGTA